GGCGATCTCATCGATTTTAGCGATGCGGGACAGCGTGACAGTGGGCGTGAGAGTGAGTGCAGCGTCCGTGGGTCCTCGGGGGGGCAGATGGGGCTGGTAACTGCTCCCGATTGCAACAACGTCGCAGTTTTCTTCGTCGCTGCCGTCAGAACAGTCATTCCATAAGTTACAGCGAAGATTCCGCTCGATACAGTCTCCCGAAGAGCACACGAAAAGATCGTCCGTGCACGTTGACAGAATCATTTCAAAAACACTTCCCTTCTGCATGTCGCAGACCTGCTCGACGGCCACCCAGCGATGAGTCCCCACAGGATAGCTGTGCGCCCGACCTGCTCCGTTCGAGCCACGCTCACGTTCCGGTCTATGTCATGCAGGCGCCACGCTTCGTCTCCTTCGCTCCAGAAGATGAAGAGATCCTCGTGGCCGCGGAACACCAGCCGCCCGCCGAAGTACTCAGCCACCCGGAATTTCCTCTGACAATCTGAGTCGAAGCAGAAGCCCCTGAGGTACAGGACACCGGGCGTCGGGAGGTGGCAGATCGCGCACTTCTTGAGGCTGCACCGGTGATTCGCCCAAGTGCCGTCGTCCAAGAGCACCACGCACTGGAACAGATTGGACCTCATTGGGTACGGCTTTGCAAAGTTGAGGTACTGCGCCTCCTCGCCGCTCTCGACGGAGATCCAAGTGTCGTTCTCCTCCTTGTGGGCAATCCCGAGCCAGTACTTCCAGTTGGATCCAGGTGCGCAGCTGTCCATGAAGGGCTCGGCGTTCTTAAGAAGGATGTCATTGTCGTAGCTTGAGGACGGCGCTGGCACGGTGCCGCCCAGGACCGGCACTGCGCCAAGGCTGCCTGGAAAGTCAGCCTCTCGGACAGAACAGCATAGTGTGTGCGTCTCCCTGTCAAGGAAGACGGCGCTGAATGAAATATATATACATGTATACATGAATAGATACACACAGAGACACATACACACATATATATATATGTGTGTGTGTATAGATGTATATATGTGTATATTATAATATATATATATATATATATATATATATATATATATATATATATATCTATACATATCCACATATCCACACATACACACACACACCACACACCACACACACAACACACACCACACATATATATAATATATATATTTATATATTATATATAAATATATATATATATAATATATATATATATTATATATATTATATTAATATATATTATATATATATATATATGAAGAATCCACAAGGCTACCTACTTGCAAAAGTGACCAAGCTCCACCCTCGTGTCCGAAACGTTTCCAACAACCTCCATGTCCGCCGTGTCCAAACTGAAACGTTTCCTCGACCTGACCACCCACAAGACGCCATTTTCCCAATCTCCGCGAGAGGCAGCGTTCGGTCCCAGAAGTTCAGCTGCCCGATTTCCCCGAACAGAACCTGGTGCATGAGATAAAAATGGTCGTCTTCTGTTTATATTTCTCTCTCTTCCTCTCCCTCCTCCCTCTATCTTTCTCTATCTCTCTTCCCCTCCTGTCCTCTCTCTCTTTTCGTACCCCCTCCCTTTCTCTCTCTCATTCCCCTACACAAAGCTGGTAATATCGAGGATTACATAAGTATCGTCCAATGTCTCTGCTGCCAATATTTAAAAAACATATTAGAGCATAGATTTCGACAGAGGCTTTCCACAGAAACTGCTCTTCTGAAAGTAAACGATGAAATATATAAATAATGACAGTAAGAAAATATCCCTTTATTTTACTTACAGAGTTTCCTAAAGCTTTTTGACAGTGTAAGCCACGACATCTGGCTGCATAACACTAAACACAGATCTCATCTGCTTCCGGGATTGTCTTACAAACAGATCACAGGCAGTAAGACCCAAGAACGGCGTGTCCTCCCTACGAAAAATTTCCTCTGGTGTTCCCCAGGGATCTGTGCTAGGCCGGTCCTGTTCTAATTTGTGTGAATGATTTATCGGGAGGGTTTACCAGGTTGTGTGTGCAGTACAGTATGCTGATGACACTCGGTTACTTCTGTTTGGAAATACCGAATACATCTTGGAATTAATCGAAAGAGTAGAGAATATTAACAGGCGAAAAGAAATCGCAATTACAGGGTACTATTGTTATAAATTTTAGTGGAAATCATATAATATCAAGCACTCTCGTTAAAAACCTAGGAGTTTACGTGAATGAACACGTGGTCTTTGACGTACATGAAAATGAAATGTGTAAAAAGTGATGGAAACACTTATCCATCTCAACAGAAAAGGAAGCTGCTTTGAAACCCACACACGAATTATTGTTGTGCAGTCACTTTTGCTGAGCATCACTAACTATTGCTCGAGAGTGTGGGCGTCTCAAATAAATCTCAAACAGGAAGAGTTCAGAAAACAACATTTCGCATCAGAAGTATGACCACATATCCCTAGCTCTTACATAACTATAATGGTTAAGGCTAGATGATAAATGCCTATATGATATGGGCATTTTAGCGTTTTAGAGCTTGCATAAACATTTATCTGACTGAATATTTAACATATTTACCGTTAACGAACTAAAGGTACTAGTTCAAGCCAGAGTAACACTTTTTTGTTTATTCCACGAACAGACTAATTTTGGAATGAGTGCTGACGAGAGGCCTATTAATCTAGGATAGGATTCCACATCATGTCAGGAATACATGCTCCATTTCTGCTTTTAAAGACAGATTAAAACCGATTAAAGAAATAGCTTTTATCTAAATAGATTTGATTCTTGTGATACGCCAGTTGCTATTTCTAATGCTTACGTTTTACTGTTATAGTTTTTTGTTGCTTTAATGTTATCATTGCAATATCTTAGATGTTATTAATAGAACTTTATATATATTTTTATCCTAATGCAATATTTATTTTTTAGTGATATATGAATACGAGTATAATATATCAGATATATCTGTAATTTATGCACTATAAAATCATATTGTAAACCAATGTAATGAATACCAAGGTAATTGGAAATAAATATTATTATTACTTACTCTCTATCTATCTCTAACTCTTTCTCTCCCTTTCTCTCGCTCTCTTCTACTTCCCCCTCCCCCCTTCCCTCCCTCTCCCTCTCTCTCTCTCTCCTTCCCCTCCCCCTCTCTCCCTCTTTCTCCTCCCTCCTCTCTCTCTCTCTCTCCCCTTCCTCCTTCCCTCTCTCCTCTTCACCTCCCTCCTCCCCCTCTCTCTCCTCTTTCTCTTTCCTCCCCTCTCCCTCAGCCTTCTTCTTATTCTCTTTTCTCTTTCTCCTTCATATCACCCTGCCCCTCTTTCCCTCCTCCCTCCTCCCTCCTATATCCACCTACAATAACAATTACACATTCCCTTACCTGATACTTATCGAAGTGTCCGCCAAACCTGTCTTGTTCTTGGCCAATGACCAGACTTCCATTCAGCGGAGCTCCAGGAACTCCGCCAACTTCCCGCTCACGAATTCCTGAAGAAGAGTCGACATATATATATCCATTTCCGCTCGAAGCGCTGGGGGGCCAAGAGCCACACAACGCCGACGAGAAATGAGACACGGTAATGGCGCATGCGAATTGTGCTCGATCCTACCTTCCCTCCCCAGTAAACGGCGTAGTTCTCTTCTTCGACCACGTGGCAGAGGTGATGCCAGACGCCGGGCACGAAAGGGAACTCGCGTGCCTGTGGAACGCGCTGGTAGACGCCGTTGACGAAGGCGAGGAGGCGGTCGTGTCCCTGGTCTGTCTGGCACATGGGTGGTGGTTAGCGCAGGCGTGAAGGGACCGAAAGAGTAATGTGTTGACGTTTAGGGGATAAAGAGTGTACCGAACAAGGGGAAAGGGAGAAAGAGAGGAAGATAAAGATCCGTATTCATCACTTCGTACGAGAAGAGAAAGGAAGAAACATACTCACACAATAGAATGTTGTTGGCATCCAGGTCACTCACGGCATAAGAAACGTGGGTGAAAAGTGACGCGGCCCTTTCGCCTCTAGCGGGGAGAGAAAACCCGTTACCAAATGATATGCTCTAACGTCACGTGTAGCAGATGGCTCTTGCTATACTGAAGGACACTGACCTGATCCAGTAGCAGATGGTGTAATTGAAAAGCGTGGGGACAGGCTCGTCCTCTGGCACGGAGAAGTTGTATCGTAGGAACACCTGGTTGGATGGCACCGTCCAGAGCCCTTGCTGCACGCCCACCACGCGGATGTGGGCGTCGTCCGCTCTCGCTGACGAGCCGGGGAACGGGGAGAATGCTTTATATTTCAGGAATGTTCGCGCACGGTTAACAAACAATCACACACACACACACGCACACACACACTAGATTGTAATTCATAAATCACTATTTTTCTCTTCTCACTTTACACCTACGTTGAGAGTTCCTGCATTCTGCTTGCAACATGTCGGGAGATTAAAATGGCTGCTCATGATTTCTCTGTGCCCGCTTATTGAAGGGCATCAAAGGGGATTCTGGCTTGGATGACAAAGAACGGAAGGCCCTGAGTAAGTGCAAAGCCATGCATCTGACGCACAACAAGTACAGCGCAAAATTCCCTCAATGAAAACCCGACTTATTGGTCTTGCATGATCTCAGTGGCACCCTGGAATTTCCTGTGGGAGTGAAAAGTTATGCTCAAGAATTTCCAGCAATTTTGCCTTTTTTTATAGCGAGAGTTCGAGGCCCTCTGTTGAATAACCCAAGCATGCATAATTCACATCCCCTCTGTAAGTTTTTACCTGATTTTTATCAACCTGCAAGAATTACCACAAGTTCTATGACCCTCAATTCAATGACATTTGATGTAAGTCGATCGTCTACAAGTCAGTTTTCTAGATGTTTTTTTTACTGTTATTTGTAGACTGGAATAGATGATTGCCTTCAGAGATTTTAACTTCTTCGACTTGATAAATTTAAAACGTCAGCTAACATGTTTTTCTTGCGTAATTAGCTGACTTTCTTTATTCATTCTTTCTTAGCTTTATCTTGACCTG